CAACTCGGGCATTGAAGTCACCCAACATGATGACTCTATCCCGAGGGGCCACTTTAGCCAGCACCTGTGACAGGAGGTCATAGAAGGCATCTGACTCATCGGCTTTGCCTGCATCCCTCCACGGATGTTCATCTTCGGTGGGGGCATAAGTAACCACGACCACCATACCTCGCCTCCGGTTGATGGGAAGGCGAGCCCAAAGTAGCCTGGGGCTTACAGCTTCCCACACCTCACCGCCACGCTCCCACGCCCCCTTCATTCTTTTGTTCAAAAGAAGACCCACACCCTGTTGTTTGGCAGTCTGCTGCCCCGAGTAGAAGACTGTCCACCCCTCATGGTGGCAGGAGCCAGAGCCGGTCCACCGGACCTCCTGAATGCCCCATAGATCCAGGCGGTACCGATCCAGCTCCCGACAGAGGAGTGGCAGCCTCTCCTCTGCAGTGAGCGTTCGAACATTCCACGTGGCCACCCGTAGTGGCTTTTCGTTGTTTCTGGAGTAGCCCCGATGGTAGGAATTCAATCTCCTGGCTCCGCCAATTGGGGTTTGGCCAGGAGACGTCATAGACGCCTGGCCCCCGGGGCCTCCGGCACAAGCTTATTAGTTACATATTTCAGTTTAATTCGTGGTTTCGTGGTAATTAATTGAAGGTGGAGGGGTTACCAGCCCCTCGCACCCGTCCAGAGCCCCCGTTTAGCCCCTGTGGTGGACATATATGCCATGAGGGGAGGAGCCAATCAAAATTGGATCTCCCCCCACAGCACTGTCCACGACAGAGTTGCCCGTCCGGCACACACACACCATGCATCACACATATCACGCACACACACACACACACCATGCACACACACCACACACACACACCACGCACACACAAACCACACACACAAACCACACACACACGCCACACACCACGCACACCACGCACACCACACACCACACACAAACCACGCACACACACCACACACACACACCACGCACACATACACCACGCACACACACCACGCACACACACCACGCACACATACACCTCGCACACATACACCACGCACACACACAAACCACACACACACGCCACACACACACACCACGCGCACACACACAAACCACGCACACGCACACACACACACACCACGCACACACACACACCACGCACACACGCACACACACACACCACACACACACTACGCACACACACCACACACACACACACCACGCACACACACACCACGCACACACACATCACACACACAAACCACACACACACGCCACACACCACGCACACCACACACCACACACAAACCACGCACACACACCACACACACACCACGCACACACACTCCACACACACCACGCACACACACCACGCACACACACACCTCGCACACATACACCACGCACACACACACACCACACACCACGCACGCACACACCACACACCACACACACACCACGCACACACACACACCACGCGCACACACACACCATGTATCACACACACACACCATGCACACACACCATGCATCACACACACACCACACACACACCATGCATCACACACCACGCACACACACACACCACGCACACACACCATGCATCACACACCACGCACACACACACACACCACGCACACACACACCATGCATCACACATATCACGCACACACACACACCATGCACACACACCACGCACACACACACACCACACACACCACGCACACACACCACGCATCACACACACACCACGCATCACACACACACCATGCATCACACACACACCACGCACACACCATGCATCACAAACACCACGAACACACACACCATGTATCACACACACCACGCACACACCATGCATCACACACACCACGAACACACACACACCATCTATCACACACACCATGCACACCACGCACACACCATGCTTTATAAACACATACCACGCACACCACACACACACACCATGCATCACACACACCACGCACACACACACCACACACACCACACAAACCCCACACACACACACACACACACACACCACACACACACACTCCACACACACCACACACACACCACGCACACACACCACACACACACAAACCACACACACACCACGCACACACCACATCACACACACCACACCACACACACCACACACACACCACACAAACCACACACACCACACACACCACACACACACCCCACACACACACCACACAAACGCCACACACACACACACCACACACACACACACCACACACACCACGCACACACACACACACCACACACACACAAACCACACACACCACGCACACACACACACCACACACACACCACACACACATACACCACGCACACACACCACACACACACCACAAACACACGCACACATCACGCACACACACACACCACACACATACACCACACACACACACACCACACAAACCCCACACACACACACCACACACACCACACACACACAAACCACACACACACAAACCACACACACACACACCACGCACACACACACCACACACACACACCACACACACCACACCACACACACCACACCACACACACCACACACACATACACCACGCACACACATCACACGCACACACCACGCACACACACCACACACATACACACACACACACCACACACACACCACACACACACAAACCACACACACACAAACCACACACACACCACACACACACCATACACACACACCACGCACACACCACACACACAAATACACCACACACACCACACAAACCCCACACACACACCACACACACCACGCACACACACCTCACACACACCACACACACACCACGCACACACACACACCATACACAAACCACACACCACGCACACACACACGCCACACACACACCACACACACACACAAACTGCACACACACAAACCACACCACACACACACAAACCACACACACACCACACACACACACACACCACGCACACACCACGCACACACACCTACGAAGGCTACCGGCACTGTGGCACATGAGGAGGGTGTGGCCAGGACCACGCCCTGGCCGCCTTTGTCTCCCCCAGTGGCGATGCGTAACTACACACACCACACCGGGTAACTCATTCGAGGCTGAGTCGACCTAGGCGAGGCACAGGTCTCGACGGGTCCAGATCATGATTCGTCACCGACGTTGATTGCGTTGGGTTGGAATCGAACTCGGGTTGCCCGGGTCGAAGGGCAGCGTAGCGCTAACCACGACGCCACCGCTCCCCAAACATAGACAAAGGTCCCCCGTGTAGCCTCTAACAGACTGCAGGGGCAAGTGCTGCGAGTAGCGAGCAGCAGCAGCAGCTATGAAGGCTGCCGGCACTGTGGGCACACGAGTGGGTGGGTGGCCAGCACCACGCACGCCCGGCCGCCTTTGTCTCCCCCAGTGACGATGTTTGCTACACACAGCGCACCGGGTAACTCATTTGAGGCTGAGTCGACCTAGGGGAGGCCCAGGATCGGTTCAGATAATCGTCACACACACACACGTGTAACGTGATGTACACACGCGCCCGTTACTATATTTTTTTATTTTGACCCGCTCGCTCGCTCGCCCACCCGCTCGCTCACCCTCTTGTTCACCCGCTCGCTCGCTCACCCGCTCACCCACTCTCTCACTCGCTCACCCGCGCACTCGATCACCCACCTGCCCACCCGCCCGCTCACCCGCTCGCTCACCCGCTCGCTCACTCACCCGCTCACCCACTCACTCACCCACCCATTCACTTGCCCACTCACTCACCCATTCACTCGCCCACTCACTCACCCGCCCATTCACTCGCCCACTCACTCGCCCACTCACTCGCCCACTCACTCACCCACTCGCCCACTTACTCACCCGCCCACTCACCCGCTCACTCGCTCACCCACTCACTCACCCACCCATTCACTCGCCCACTCACTCGCCCACTCACTCGCCCACTCACTCACCCACTCACTCACCCACTTACTCGCTCACCCACTCACTCACCCACTTACTCGCTCACCCACTCACTCACCCACCCATTCACTCGCCCACTCACTCACTCACCCACTTACTCGCCCGCTCGCCCGCCCGCTCGCTCACCGCTGGTGAGCCGGTGAAGAATGCTCACCATCACCCAGCTTAGCTAATTACATAATCGGGCCTCTGCTTGTAAATCCATTGCCAGGCTAATGCCCCATCAGTGGTTACCCTTAACCTCGTCTGGCGAACTGCTCTCCCGACTCTCCCTACCCACAACTTTGTTGAATCTTGCCTGACCCAACGTGCTTCTGAGAAAGTAATGGTACCGAATAATGGCCATAGTGAAACAGTTTGGTGTTGAGATATGTTAAAGCACCAAACGGAATCCTTTTGCAAGGAATCCTGTTACTGCATTCACCACATTTACTCGTGGCGAAAACACGCAAACACAAACACGCTCTGACAATACGACGCGTCGTCTTTAATAATAATGTCACCAGAATGTTACTGCATCGTCTTTGAAACTCATTGGTCCACGCCGGAGAGAGCTTTCTTTAGAGCCGAGCCTCAACCGGTGTGAGACCAACGCCAAAAGGCGAAGACAGCACCAGGACAATGCCACTCGCAGAAGCATTGAGGGCTCGGGGCGAGCAGCTACATAATGGGAGCTCCCTTGCCAGAATCAAAATATCAGAGTAGGTGTCACCATATTCTGGGTTCTTTCGGTAAAGTCACCACGTAGAAGGGAAACAATGAAATAAATAAAAATATAATACAATACAATTCTCACGACGTTTCGACTGCAACACAAGAAGCAATCATCATCGGGTGTGAAAACCACAGCAATAATTTTTTTTAAAAAAGTGGCGTGTTTTTTTTCCAAATTTTGGCCTTTTTTTTCAAATTCTCTTGCTGTGGTTTTCACACCTGATGATGATTGCTTCTCGTGTTGCAGTCGAAACGCCGCGAGAATTTTAATTGTTTTGTATTTTTATTTATTTTTATTGTTTCCCTTCTACGTGGTGGTGACTTTACCGAAAGAACCAAGAGTATGAATCACCGCAGTCACGAAAGCTTTAATTCAAAATTTAAAATAGGTGTGACCCTTTCTGGCAAAACAATGAAACGGGAGTTGTGCTTCGATGTTAAAACACCAAACTGAACTCTTTTCGCAAGGAATCCTGTAACCGCAATTGACCACAATGACCGTGATCAGCATGCAGACAATAAACAAACTCTGCCTTTGAAACGCCGGGGACGAACGCCGCAGTTGAGACGAGGCTCAAAAGAAAGCCGTCTATGGTGTGGACCAATCAGTTTCAAGGACGATGCATGTACGATTGTATCGTTCTTTCGGTGAAGTCTTTGCCGAATGAGCCAAAGATGAATTCCCGTTTTGCAATTGTGGCCACAAGTATTGCGGTTAATTGCAGACATGATTCCTCGCGAGAAGGTTTCAGTTTTGGGGGGTTTGATCGTCTCAAAACGGCTGTGTTTTTTTTGCCGGAAAAAAAGGAGATGTGGGAGAACTCGAATCCCATACTTGGCTAAGGAGCTGGCGAGCGAATTTAAAACTAGAGGGGGGGTAAATGAAACGAGGTGTTTCAGGTGATGTTACGAACCCAACGGGGGCTTTATATTAAAACCACAACAACAACAACAAAAATAAAAACAATGTATACATATAAAGCCGATTGATCGGTCAATTAAACGAAGCATACCACTTGCAATTAAAACACGTTTAGCTCGGTGTTGAAAAATAAAAACAGCACACACACACACTCACTCCTGATGTACCAGACTACCCATCTATCACGTACGGTCGGTGAGTTTGAGAGAGCGGGGGGCAGGGCAGAGGGGGGCAGTGGGGGGGGCAGTGGGGGGGGGCAGTGGGGGGGGGGCCCTGTTTTCAACATCGCCTCTCTTAACAAAACAAAAAAAAATCGCGTCTTAAGAGAACCGATGAAGTCTCGCCGTGCCGGACGGGACGTCGGGGGCCGGTGGAAAATTGCCAGCGGCAAGCCCCCCCCCGCCCCGCCCCTCGCCCCCCGATCTCGCCACCACGGGATTTGTATTTTGTCATCTCTGGGGTTCCAATGTCGCCTCTTTTAAACAAAAATAAAAAAAATCTCGCCTCTAAGGGGAACCGATGATGGAGGCATCGGCGGTGGAGAGGGGCCCTGGGGAGCGGTGACTCCGCGGTTGGCGCACAGGCCCCCCGCCACGAACCCGGCGGGGGGGGGGGGTGGTTTCGATTCCCGCTCGCGGCCAGCGCCCGGGGCGAGGCCTTCGCCGGGCCCCGGGGCCCTCCGCCAAGGTGCGGCGACGGCGTTAACCGGCGGTGTTAACCGGCGGCGCGCCCGTAGTAGCCGGGCCCCGGGCCCTCCGCGTCGGCAACGGACGCCGCGTTCGTCGTCGTCGTCGTCGCCGTCGGCCCGCGCGCGGGACTGGACGTCGACGAGGGTTGGGGCGACGTTGCGGGCGACGGCCCTTCGGCAGGGGCTGCACATCGAGAGGCCCGAGTGGCGGCGTCGATCGGCTGCCTCGCGGCTCCCAATGGGGCCCCGTCGTGGCCCCGTCGAAGGCTCTGGCACGGCTCAACCCACGTGACACCGTCGCGGCTCCCCCCCCCACCTCCCCACCGTAGCTGCCGCCACCACGTGGCCGCCAATCGCGTGCCCGCCGCTGCCCCCACGTGGCCGCCCGCCGCTGCTACCACGTGGTGTCCACCACTGCCCCCACGTGGCCGCCCGCCGCTGCTACCACGTGGTGTCCGCCGCTGCTACCACGTGGTGTCCGCCACTGCCACCACGTGGCCGCCCGCCGCTGCCACCACGTGGTGTCCGCCACTGCCACCACGTGGCCGCCCGCCGCTGCTACCACGTGGTGTCCGCCGCTGCTACCACGTGGCCGCCCGCCGCTGGCACCACGTGGTGTCCGCCGCTGCCACCACGTGGCCGCCCGTCTAGGCGCAGCCGCAGGCCCGGATGACGAGCACGGCGTGCGGCTCCCCGTGCCGGGGGTGGAGAAGGCGGGTCTCCACCTCCACGGCCACGCAGTCCCCCGGGCAGTCGCGCGCGCTGCAACAAAGGAAAGGCAAAGATCCCCCGTATAGCCTCAGCAGACTGATGGGGCAAGTGCAACACCATCACCGACATCACCTTCATTACCACCACCATCACCACCGTCTTCATCACCACCGCCGACACCATCACAATTATCAACACCATCACCACCAACCATCACCACCATCATCATCACCACCAACCAACCAACCATCACCAGCATCTTCATCACCACCGTCGACACCATCACCATTATCAACACCATCACCACCAACCATCACCACCGTCAACTCCATCACCACTACTACCAACACCATCACCACCAACCATCACCACCATCATCATCACCACTATCAACACCATCACCACCAACCATCACCACCAACCATCACCACCATCATCATCACCACCGTCAACATCGTCACCATCACCACTACCAACACCATCACCACCAACCATCACCACCATCATCATCACCACCGTCAACATCGTCACCATCACCACTATCAAGACCATCACCACCAACCAACACCACCATCATCATCATCACCACCGCCACCACACCATCTTCACCAAAGACAAAGATCCCCCGTGTAGCCTCTAACAGGCTGTAGGGACAAGTGCTGTTAGCGAGTAGCAGCACCCTATGAAGGCTACCGGCACTGTGGCACACACAGAGGGGTGATGTGGCCAGCAACCACCACGCCCGGCCGCCTTTGTCTCCCCCACTGGCGATGTTTACACACACACACAGCACCGGGAAACTCATTTGAGGCTGAGTCGACCTAGGGGAGGCCCAGGACCGGTTCACAATCGCCGCTGTCGACTCGAGGTCGCTGGGTTCGTGGCGCAGTGCGCCAACCACTGCGCCACCGCTCCCCATACTTGGGCATCGTCCACTCACAAAGGCAAAGGTCCCCCGTGTGGCCTGCATCGACTTTTGGGGCAAGTTCCGTTCGTGAGTGAGTGAGTGAATGGGCGTATGATTGGGTGAATGAATGAGTGAATAAATGGGCGAATGAGTGAATCGAGTGAGTGAACGAGTGAGTGAGTGAATGAGTGAATGAACGAATGAGCGAATGAGTAGATGAATGAGTGAAAGAATGAGTGAACTAACATGTTAACAAATGAGTGGACGAGTGAGTGAACACAAGGGTGAATGAATGCATGCATGAGTGAACGAATGGGTGAGCGAATAAGTGAATGAGTGCATGAATGAGTGAACGAATGGTTGAATGAATTATTGAATGGGTGAGTTAACGAATGAGTAAATGTTTGAGTGAATGAATGAGTTAACTAATGAATGAGTGAATGAATGAGTGAGCGAACGGTTGAGGGAATGAGTTGGATGAATGAGTGAATGAGTCAATGTTTGAGTGAATGAATGAGTAAACGAATGAGTTAATGAATGAGTGAACGAACGGGTGAGGGAATGAGTTGGATGAATGAGTGAATGAGTAAATGTTTGAGTGAATGAATGAGTGAACGAATGAGTAAATGAATGAGTGAACGAACGGGTGAGGGAATGAGTTGGATGAATGAGTGAAGGAATGAGTGAATGAACGCGTGAACGAACGAATGAGCGAATGAGTAAATGTTTGAGTGAATGAATGAGTTACCGAATGAGTGAATGAATGAGTGAACGAACGGGTGAGGGAATGAGTTGGATTAATGAGTGAATGAGTAAATGTTTGAGTGAATGAATGAGTGAACGAACGGGTGAGGGAATGAGTTGGATGAATGAGTGAACGAGTGAACGAATGAGTGAATGAACGAGTGAACGAACGAATGAGCGAATGAGTAAATGTTTGAGTGAATGAATGAGTTAACGAATGAGTAAATGAATGAGTGAACGAACGGATGAGGGAATGAGTTGGATGAATGAGTGAATGAGTAAATGTTTGAGTGAATGAATGAGTTAACGAAGGAGTGAATGAATGAGTGAACGAACGGGTGAGGGAATGAGTTGGATGAATGAGTGAACGAATGAGTGAATGAACGCGTGAACGAACGATTGAGCGAATGAGTAAATGTTTGAGTGAATGAATGAGTTAACGAATGAGTGAATGAATGAGTGAACGAACGGTTGAGGGAATGAGTTGGATGAATGAGTTGGATGAATGAGTGAACGGATGAATGAGTGAACGAGTGAACGACTGCTCACCCGCACGTGGCGCCGGGGAGCGGTGGACAGGAGCCCACGCACTGCCCCACGTCGATCTCCTGCACCACGTGGGGGCACGGGGGGGGGCACAGAGGGGGGGCACAGAGGGGGGGCACAGAGGGGGGGCACAGAGGGGGGGCAGAGGGGGGGGGGGCGCAGAGGGGGCGGGGCACAGAGGGGGGGGGAGGGTTAATGGACGCGTGGTGGCCAGCAGCACTTGCCCCAGCAGCCTGCGTGCGACTACCCGGGCGGTCTGAGTGTGTGTGTGTGTCTGTGTGTGTGTGTTTGTGTGTCTGTGTGTGTCTGTGTGTGTGTCTGTGTGTGTCTGTGTGTGTGTGTCTGTGTGTGTGTCTGTGTGTGTGTGTGTCTGTGTGTGTGTCTGTGTGTGTCTGTGTGTGTCTGTGTGTGTGTCTGTGTGTGTCTGTGTGTGTGTCTGTGTGTGTGTCTGTGTGTGTGTCTGTGTGTGTCTGTGTGTGTGTCTGTGTGTGTCTGTGTGTGTGTCTGTGTGTGTGTCTGTGTGTCTGCGTGTGTGTATGTGTCTCTATGTGTGTCTCTGTGTGTCTGTGTCTGTGTGTATATGTGTATCTGTGTGTGTGTCTGTCTGTGTGTCTGTGTCTGTGTGTATATGTGTATCTGTGTGTGTGTCTGTCTGTGTGTCTGTGTGTGTGTGTCTGTGTGTGTGTCTGTGTGTGTGTCTGTGTGTGTGTGTCTGTGTGTGTGTGTGTGTCTGTGTCTGTGTGTGTGTGTCTGTGTGTGTGTGTGTCTGTGTGTGTCTGTGTGTGTGTCTGTGTGTGTGTGTCTTTGTGTGTGTGTCTGTGTGTGTGTCTGTCTGTCTGTGGGTGTGTGTCTGTGTGTGTGTGTCTTTGTGAATGTCTGTGTGTGTCTGTGTGTGTGTCTGTGTGTGTCTGTGTGTGTTGTGTGTCTGTGGGTCTGTGTGTGTCTGTGTGTGTGTCTGTGTGTGTGTCTGTGTGTGACTGTGTGTGTGTGTTGTGTATCTGTGTGTGTGTGTCTGTGTGTATGTCTGTATGTGTGTCTCTGTGTGTGTATCTGTGTGTGTGTGTGTCTGTGTGTGTGTGGGAGGCTGATCGATGCCCGGGTGCGGTCAAGGGATGGCTCCTTATTGCTCAACCACGGTATGTATGCTGATCATTTGGTAATAGCTGCTCAGTCAGAGGAGGAGTTGGAGACGCTGCTGCTGAACCTGGAGCGTGCCACTAAGAGATGGGGCCTTACCATCAGCCCCACCAAAACTAAGCACCTGCCTGGGTATTTTGTACCATCGGACACTCCACCCCCACAACTCCCAATCGGTGATGGGGCAGTTGTGGAGAGAGTGGAGAGTTTCCCATACCTGGGCAGTGTGCTTATGACTGGCTCCAGTTTAACAGCAGAGGTCTCACTCCGAATCAGTCGAGCGGCAATATCTTTTCATCGGTTGCGTAACGCTGTGTGGAAGCTACCTGGTCTGTCGCTCCGCACTAAGCTTCAGGTCTTCTCGGCCACGGTCATTCCCTCCCTTCTCTACGCTTGCGAAACGTGGACCCCCCTAATGGAACATCTTCGCCGGTTAGAAACATTTAGGCTGGCCTGCCTACGATCCATCCTGGGTTTAACCAGACTGGATTGTGTGAGGAGCTCACAAATCCTTGAAAGATCTGGGCAGGGTCCCATCGGTGAGCTCCTCCGGCAGGCAAGGCTGCGATGGCTGGGTCATGTAGCCCGCATGCCCAGCCACCGCATGCCGAAACAGCTTTTGTTTGGCCGGATTGAGGGGGCTAA